TGTTTGGCGAATCCAAGATCAAAACCGAGCTGTGGGAGACATCGTGGTAGAGAGGATCCACTCTTGCCTAGAGATGGGACGGGAAGAAGGGTGGACCGACCCAGGCCGTGCGATTAGACCCTTGACCGACTCTTTTCCATCAACTTTTCAAGCGATTTACCGAGCTTCAACGCTCGTACATGATGTAGTGCAATTCATGGTGTGAAGTGTCGGATGAATTGTTCCAACCAACGAGGGACGAGCGTGGGATCCTCAGCGGGCCATCAAAAGCTTGACTGCAGGCTAAGCTTCTTATGGATGGTCAGCGCTTAAAACCTCGATCGACGGCCAGTGAAAGCTTCGCAACACCAATGCACCCCGCTCCATAATCTTGCTTTTTCCCATGCATGGCTGTCAGTCTACCCAGCAAGGGTCTCAGGGCATTAGGGCTTCAATCCTCCAATTCGCTCAATCCATGGTCATGCGAACGAAAGGCCAGCCCACTTTGGTCCACCAGATGGATCCGAGCTACCGAGGAGCAGGAACCCTGAAGTCTGTGATACGGCCGCGAGATATGTCTCGGTGCCTCTGCTAACACGCTATAGCGCTAGACTGATGAGCAGAATATGCTCTGAGACTAAGATGACGAACTATCTGACATCAGATGTTAGGCCGGTATGAAGGAGGGCTGCGACGTTCATGTGGTGCAACAACCTCAGAGCTATCTCAAGATGAAGAGCATGTAAGAAACGGCCATAGATCGAATGGCGATGTCCGCTGCAGCCGAGAGCGCCTCCCGCTCAAAAGGGATGACCAAGGCCGGTCCGCTTCCTTGACGGACCGCCACTCGCCAGTCACAGCGCTGATCCTGCATGATGCGCAGTGCGGCGATAGCAACTAGCTCTCGGACAATCTAATATGTGTATTGCTGCAGCCCACGAATGTGACGGCGCTTTGGGCTCGTCATCTCTCTTTTGGGGCCCCTGGTTCGACTCGTTATCACATCTTGGCCCAATAGCGTAGGTTCTGGTGAGCGGTTGAATATCATTTTCCATTTGCTGCCACGATACGACGGGTCTTACCCTTGCGAGTCACCCGCACTCCACTTGCGCGTGGAACTTAAGGAACCGGACTGCTGCTCGCGCACGGTATCTGAACATAAGCATTCGGCGGTTGCACACTTTTTTGTTTGTTCTTGCGCCATCTACCACTATTCATACTGAACATTCTTATCATATTGTGTGTTGGATTAAGCGGTGGATAAGTTCTCGCTACCTAGGGATCTCTGCGCCACGGTACAACCACACCTCCGGATCGAGTTTCCGCTGCACCTTCGCGCGCATTGTCACAGTCAATCCTACGTCTTGGTACCCATGTAGGAACGGAGCCCCGGATGTTCATTAAGCCTTTGGTACCTCAAACCAAGACCCGTTGGCCTAGGACGCATTTCTGCCGTATTCCGGCTTCTGCTGGCAGAAGTGTTTCACGATTATCACGCCAATTGTTGCAAAAGCAAACCCAACGACTACTCGAAAATGCCGGTTATTCGGGAAGCTCTCGTGGAGCGGACGGGTGTGGCCATGGAGCAGCTGGGCGTGGTAGTGTCACACGGCGAGCGAGACATTGTCGAATCGGTCTCAGCATTACTACGACGTGTAAACATACCTTTCAACAGCACAAGCCCAGCTGGATTGATAGAAGCCAACACCGTCGATCCATGGAACAAAAGCGGCAAATATGCGCTCGCATATGTCTACTTTTGTATACCTCTGCTGGTCATCGCAGCCCTGATGCGATACTATCATCTATTCACGGATAAGATCCGGACAGCACTACACCAAGAAGAGGTATTACAGTCCTCGACGACATCCTCTCCCGACACAGATTACGAGATGTCAGTACTTGATACTGACAAGTCCACCATGAAGTTCTTCCCACGCGAAGGCCCGCTACCCAGTGCGCCAAAACAACAATCCAGCGTTTCTTCTTTCGGGCCGATCAACAACATTATAGCGTTTTTCCGGTTCATCTTCTACCGGCCGATTCCACAGATCAGAGTCAAGAAGGGATGGAGGCCAATCGTGTTCCCATCCTTGGCTGTTATCGTGATTGTACTCCTAGCCTTGCTCCTGGGAGTCCTCTACTGCACCCTTCCACAGCCGCTATTCTGGGACAGTATCGCTTATGGCTCACCTCCATTAGCAGTTCGCTCCGGCATGATGGCTGTGGCACTGATGCCATGGATCGTGGCACTTGCGACTAAAGCGAACCTCATCTCAATGGTGACGGGCATCAGCCACGAGCGATTGAATGTGTTCCACAGATGGGCAGCATATATTTGCCTCGTGTTGAGCATCTTGCACACTGTACCCTTCTACGTCACCCCAGTCTGGGAGAAGGGTGCACATCAGGCATTCCAGCAGCTGCTCAATCAACAGAGCGGAATGTACATCTATGGCACTGGTATGACCTTCCCATCTAAGACGCAGATCACATACTGACAAGTTTCAGGTATCGCAGCACTCGTTCCCTTGTGCTTCCTCTGCACGCATTCGATTGCGCCCCTACGCCACCGAATGTACGAACTGTTCGTGGCACTGCACGTGCCCGTTGCCATTGTCTTCCTCGGAATGATGTTCTGGCATTGCAACAACTACCTAACATCATGGCACTACCTGCTTTCCACTTTGGGCATCTGGCTACTGTCCTACTTCATGCGGCTGTTCTATCTGAATTGGACTCGTCCAGGTCAACTGTCATGGCTTATTGGCGACGAGGCCGCCGTGACGCTCATGCCAGAGAACGCTATCAAGATTACTATTCCAACCCGAATGAGGTGGAGACCTGGACAGTATGTTTATCTTCGCATGCCTGGTATCTCAGTGTTTGAAAATCACCCCTTCACCATCGCTTCACTATGCAGTGAAGACTTTCCATCTGAATATGGCGAGGGCTACCGGGATATGGTTCTCGTCTTCCGCCCGTTCGGTGGTTTCACAAAGAAGGTTCTTCAGAACGCTCTCGACCATGGCCCATGGCACACATATCGTGCCTTTGTTGATGGTCCATATGGAGGTATGCAACGGCGCATTGAAGCCTTCGATGACGTCGTACTCATTGCAGGAGGTAGTGGCATCACTGCCATTGTCTCGCAGCTGCTCTCCCTTATCAAGAAGATGCGCGATGGCAAAGCTGTCACGCGCAAAATCCACGTGATTTGGGCCCTCAAGCGTCCTGAAACCATGGAGTGGTTCAAGGAAGAATTGCGCATCTGCCGTGAATATGCGCCACCCGAGACCGTACAGTGTCAATTCTACATCACCGCTGCGAAACGTAACCCAGGCGGTGGACTTGTCAGCGCGAAAACACCTACTCGTCCAGTGTCGCTGTACTTTCACGACAAGGTCAACGATGCTTTCCAGAACATTGCCGACCACCGCCTTTCGGGTGTCTCCTCAAAGCGACACTCCGCTCTCATCCGCGATGAAGCGCAGGGAGATCCTGAGAAGGAGTCTGAGCTGCGTCGCGAGAATGAAGATAGTATTACGGCACTTCCTCAGGCGCACATGGTCCCCGTCAATAGAGGCCACCTCGCACCACCACGCTCAAGCTACAACAGTGGGCGAAACTCTGCCGAATCAGCAGACAGCTCGAACCCGGATATGATAGCGCCTGCGCCACGTGGCCTTGCTGCTCGACGTCAAGAGCGCAACCTCTCTCTGGACATCAATCAAGCCGTCTCCGCAGGCTCCGGCGCCATAAATCCAGATATAATCCACAATCCCACCGAAGGCGCCCAGGGCTTCGACTTTGGTTTCCCATCAACACCCACTGAGTTCCAAAAGAACCTGATGCGTTTTGCATTCCTGCCTGCAGCTGTCAAGAAAAAGGACGGCTGGAGCACTGAATATGGACGTCCGGATATACCGTATCTACTCAAAGGACTAAGCAAAAACTTTGGGCGCAGAACGTGTGTGTTTGTTTGTGGGCCACCCACCATGCGCATTAGCGTGAGTGAGACGATTGCGCAAATGCAGAGGAGTGTATGGAGTGATAGTGGGCGGGACGAGATTTTCCTCCACGCCGAGAACTACGCCTTATAAGGCGTGGGTAGTACATTTCTTTCTCTTGTTTTTTGTGCATAGCGTTGGATGGCTTGGTGTATATACCCCTTTCTCTTATTCTTTTATACTCATGTATCTATATGACGATCGACGATGTCAATATCGGTCGCTTCTCCGCCGCTTGGCTAAAGGCCTGGATCAACCAGTCTCCATCTCAATGAAGAAGTAAACTTCAACACCAATGTTGGAAGTGTGTTTCCGATGAACCTTGAATCTGACACAAACTTTCACGGGATATTATGCAGGCATTCTTCGACGTGCTTACTCCTTGTGAAACTTGTTGCGCATTTCTGCCTCGGCATGATGGAACCCAGCGACGCCATAGAGATGTACCGCGTGCCAGACTACCAACAGCGTAGAGATTGAGGCTTGATACTTGGTGTACTCGTTCAGCGGCACATGCTTGTCACGCTCTCGTTCCATTGTCACCTTCTGCATATGGTTCGCCGACGGTCGACCAGGAGTACCCTACCCCTCCGCACGCGAGCTGGTGGGGTCGTTGTTCATCCATGAACCTCGCGGCACAATCAACGTATCCTTGTCGCGGATTGTGGAGAGGGTGTGCGTGCGGAGACACTATCCCGCGCTCTAATGGGAGCCAGAAGTTGAGTGCGGCACAGCGCTATGGTCGTACGGACGCAAAAGCAAATAGTCGTGGTTCAGCATCATGTCGCAGTGGGCGAGTGGGAAGATGATGGGCTTGCTGACCGCTTGCTCGCTCATGGCGATACGCGCTGCGTCGCGGATAGAGACATGTGCAGCGACTGCAACACCAAACGGCGGCTGCGTACTGGCGCATGGGGACGGCAGTACATAGGGCTGCAGCCGGCTAAGGGGAGATGAGGGTGTGGGATAATGGGCGTTCGCATGCCCTTGCTTTTTGGTGATATGCTTTTGGGCAGCCGGAATTGCCGCTTGGCGCATCTCGCCCGCCCGACCCATCTCAAACGACATCAACTTGCATATTCCCCTTCCTCCTCCACGCAGGCCTGCTGTAACGTTTCCCAGCGTTCGTAGCCAACTAGTAACAATTGCTACGCCGAGATCCTATCCAGCCGTCGCACACGCGGAAGCCAGGGCGCAGACTTCCCGATCGACCATGTTCTTAAGATAATTATGTGCACATGTCCGCCATCCCAGTGTCTGAACTGGGCCTCAACTCGAGCGAGAGCAGATATCTCCAGCAACAAATCGCCGCCTCACAGCACGGCTCCAATTCATCGCGTGCTGCCTCTCACGCCTCCAGCCAAGGCCGTCTCCTCCTGGATCCTTCTAGTTTGCAGGCGCTCAGCGCCCACTTTGACCGTCTAATGTACTCTATCCAGCAGCGCTGGCAGTATGTGAGTGTCTTCTGTTATGTCTTTGGGTAGGCTCGATTTTGTGTGGTGTAGTACTGACAATGGCCAGCTCACCCAGCAGACGCAAACAGCAACCCAAGTGCAGTACGACCGCGCAGGCAATGCCATGCAAATGGCTGATGCTGAAATCGCCCGCTTCCGCGCAATCCTCCACGAAATCGATGAACTGCAAGTAGAATTCGATAAAGTCCGTCGCATTGGAGAGATTGTCAAAGGATTCAAGTCGCGCGTCGACCGTCTGGATCGCCGGATATGAACGCATTCCAGTAGATTGGACCGGTGTGTCCCCAGTTTCACAACCTGGTTTACACGAACCAATCTACCTACACTCCTTTACCATCACGAAAAGACATACTTTGTCCCCACAGACACACACTATACCTACTAAGACTGGAGAGCCTCGCGGCATGGAAAACCCCGGGGACACCTGCGAGAACGGAAAGCCTCACGGCTAATGGCGTTTTGGTTACGTTTTGTTGGAACTCTTGCTTTTGGGAATACCCAGATCTGCTTTTGTCCGTGTTTCAGTTTGCTTGAGTTGCGGTACCTTTCTTGCGTCATTTGTGTAACTTTGAATTACTTCTTCTAAATTATTACGTCTTGCTGCGAACGGGCTGCTGTACGTCATTGTGGATCGACGCTGCATGACCCGATCCCCTGTTCAGCCGCAAGCTGTATGTTCCTCCCATTTAAGGCATTGCAACACACTGCCTTTGCATATCTTTGCTTTCGTGCTCAGTGATGTTCGCAGTGTATTCCTTCTGAAAGAATCCTAACTATTGCTGTAGGGTGTGTCTCCAACTACCACCAAGTCTTCCTCGCAACGGCAATGAAACCTTACTTTCATCTTAGCATACTTTGGCTGCTGCAGCCCGCATCATAGTTACACTGGAACGCTTTCGGTATCCGAAACCCCTCGCGGCACGCAATACGAGATGCTGTGTATGAAGTTTACCTGCTCAAGCTTCCTTTCTCATTAACCAGGCTTCTGCACCCTGCCTCGCAGCACTACGTTCGCGCTCCTTGTCCGATTGACTATATGGATATCCCTCTCGATCAAATACCTCTAGACAGACCTTGCATGCTAGCCGTTGTCGTACACATGTTGGTCATGGCTATGTACACTCGTGAACTGCAGATGGTCCCTGACATGTGTGACTTCCAAGTTGGGTGAGAGATGGTCACAGGAATCAGTGAACCTTCTTAATTCAACTGTGAGCCGAGGCACAACACCGTCGCAGGTAACAACATCGACCTGTTCATTTATACGCAGCATCAACACGTTCATCAACCGCCCCCGACTGATCAGCCGCGAGACAAGCTTGCAGATAAATAACGTTACGAGATTGCGGTCAGGTTTCTTTGGACGCTGAGAAACCACCACCACTCCGATAAGAATTCGTCCGTCGTCATACATGCACGAATGCATCTCAGGCCCCTGCGAAAACACTACAACCCTCGATGTTTCGGCAGAACACGCTAATTCCTCTCCCACCGCTCTTATTGGCCTGGTCGCATCTTCACGTGCAGAGTGGGTATCTCGCGTCTAGCAGAAAGCTAGCTTAACATGTCTTCGGAACCGGTGGGTACCTGCTTTGTACTATGCGCCCATGTATTACTTGTCATCAGCCTTCGAGTTTTCGCCCAGGGTTGAACATAATGTACATTCCATTTCGGCTTCGAGATCTCAGGAGAGACGGAAGTATCGTTGGCCTGTAGTCTATTGGTGGAACAGGACCTTAGTGTATATTTGCTACTTCAACGTTCTCTTGGCCCCATGGGGATTTGCGGATCGAGGGGACCTAACGGCTAGTAAGGCGTCCTGCACTCAGGCACATTATACCTCATTTGGATCCAAAAGGGGACGCCTAATGGCGCAGCAATCAAGATTCCGTCTTCCACGCGCCTGTAGAAAAAGACTTGGCTAGGCTCTCATCGCATCCTACAGCCTCCACTGCTCTTCCTCGTTTCTTGCCAAACGCTATGTTTTCGCCATCACTATGCACAAAATCAATCTACGGCCAAGGAGGAATCCGCTGCGGTCGCTGGGGCGCACTGCGCAATCCCACTGGAAGTTGATTCTGGCTATCGTGTCATTGATGCTTATCGAAGTATACGTACATGTACGAAACTACGATGTTCCTCGCCCGTCGACACCCCTCGACGCACCCTTCTACACGGGCTGTCAGAGCCCCGTCCTAAACACGACCGCACGCGAGTCCGCTGTTCTCGTAATGCTGGCGCGCAACTCGGAAGTCAAGGGCGCAGTTTCCAGCATTCGAAGCGTCCAAGAACAGTTCAACGATAACTTTGGGTATCCATGGGTTTTTCTGAACGACGAAGAGTGGACGGAGGATTTTAAGATTAAGGTGGGCAAAGCAGTAGGAAAAGACACGGAAGTAAAGTTTGAGGTCATTCCAAAAGAGATGTGGGGATATCCCGAGTGGATCGACCAAGTGCGCGCGAGAAGCAGCATGCAATCCATGAAAAACCGGGGTATACAGTATGGAGGACAAGAAAGCTATCACCACATGTGCCGCTTTCAGTCTGGGTATGTCAAACAAGCCAACCCCATCTCAGGAATGGCGCACTGATAAAAACATCACAGCTTCTTCTTCGACCACCCCGCCCTTCTTCCCTACAAATACTACTGGCGCGTCGAACCCTTCGTATCCTTCACATGCGCCATAACCTGTAAGTAACCTTCGTGCACGAAATATAGGTGATACATTTGCTCACTCTGTACATCGTACGCTAGATGACCCCTTTGTTGAGATGACGCGCCACAAAAAACGCTACGGCTACACAACTGCACTCTGGGAACGCGGGCAAACCGTCCCTTCCCTCTTCTACAAGCTCTCCCTCTTCAAGAATAAATACCGCCTCCCCACCTACAGCCTCTGGACCGCCATGGTCGACGCAAGCTACATGCCCTGGCCCCTCCGCCGTGCACTAGCGCTCTTGCGGAATCGGGATGAGAGGGGGGATTTGTGGAACATGTGTCACTTCTGGTCGAACTTTGAGATTGCAGATATGGATTTCTTCCGTGGAGATGCGTATCGTGCCATCTTTGAGTATCTGGACCGTGATGGTGGGTTTTATTATGAGAGGTGGGGTGATGCACCCGTGCATTCATTGGCTGCTGCCATGTTGTTGAAGCCGGAGGAATTGCATCATTTTAGTGATTGGGGGTATGTGCATGATGGGCTGCAGGTTTGTACATATGCGACTATAGAGCAGGAGAGAGCGAGAGGGGTGAGCGTACCAAAGATCTCGGGGACTCGTGGAGAATGGAGGGAGCAGACGGGCTGCAGATGTAAATGCGATGATGCGATCAGGGTTGTGGAACCGGTCTGTCTGAATAGGATCGGATTGACTACTAGCTAGTCTGGAGATACGGCAAGCAGCAAACGTTGAACATGCATACAAGCTCTTGCACATTGTGGCCTACTACAGCTCTCTTGGTGTTGAAGTCTACTCAAGATCTACGCTACCACCCGCCTTCACCACGTCCTTGGTGATGTCGTTCATGTTGACAACAAGCTGGCTCCCAAATGTGATCCATTCTTCAGCTCCCCGCACACGAGCTCGATGGCGTCCATTGGAATGTCCATCAGCAATTTCCATTCCGTTGATGACCATGTCAAATTTCTTGCCGATGACGTGAATGCTCCTGACGACAACGCCCTTGCGGTAGGTATCTAGATATGGGCGATTGACTACAATGAGTCAGCAGTTTGCCATTTGCCATCGAAAGATACGTACATTTGATCGTTTTGCGCGCAACATTGAGCTCACTGTCGATTGCAAGCTTGTTGTTGATTTCCTTTATCTCCTCGTTGTCATGAATATATGCGAGCAGTGTACTCACGCTCCGAAGATGATAAACTCTACCATCGATTCGGACCAGTAGTCTTCAAGGTTCAACAAGAAATCGAGGAAATAGAGGACGAGATCCAAGAGCGATAGGAAAAGAGTAAGAACGACTTTCGCCACATATCCCAGCACATCGTGGATACCGAGCATTTCGAGCGATGTTGATTCAAGCGGTTGCTGCGGTCTTTCGGTTTTTGTAGGGAGAGTAGAGAGTTAGTACTTATTAGTTGCAGTCGAAGAAAGTGAAGGTGGTGGTTACAGAGATCAGCTATCGAACGCCGACCGCGCGATCTTCCTTTCACTTACGCAAATAGTTTCGTGGGACCTTTTCGTGATCTAGCCAGGTTGCTAACATGCAGGTAGCCCGCAGGGCGTTCACCACCTAGTGGCTAAAGGGAACTACACCAAATACCCATTCACTGATGATCTCTGCACCCGGAAGTCGACGTATCGTGTAAAGCGGAATTGGGTGTCTCTTTCTATTTTTACACTGATTCACCACGAGAGAAAGCAATGCGTAATCAACATATCGGGTCATGATGTTGTGACGCTCAGTAATTCCGTCCTCTTCCTTCCTTGAACGCCCCAGGATCGCGCAACAGCATATCACGTACACCCTCCATGGTGAAGCCTTTGTGTTTCTCAATACACTCTTCCATACACCGAAGTATCTTCTTCGGCCATTCCACATACTGGGCCCACTCCCCACTCTCATCGTCATCTATGGCGGCTATGATCCGGGCGGACCATTGAGCAGTCGCCCTTATAGGGGTTGTCAATGCATTCCTAGGCGCCGATAGCGGTGATAGGACGAACCGTATGGCGCAAAAGTGCGCCATGACGACGTTGCCGAGTTGGTTTGTGGGATCAAAGACATGCATGAGCCCGTCATGCGGCCAGGTAGAGAAGATGGTGAGGATAGCCATGACAGCAATAAAGGACTGGAGCGGGTATGGAGCGCCTGGTGGGGCAGTCGTGAGATTTTCCCAGTCAATCTTGTCGAACACCACGCCGAGGTCTCCTGGTAGAATCGGGTTGGCGAACGCGTAGAGATCGGAAGGTGAGTTGGGACCCGAAGCCATTTGTGGTAGAGTGCTTGCTTTTGTAAAACCTGGTACTAAAGGTGTACCTGGTATTGAAGTTGTGTTATTCTCCTCATCATATTCAGTGGTTGAATCAAATGCGTCCCTTAATTCTGGGTTCTCCACTTCTGAGACCAGAAGACATTGAAGCGTTTCGATGAGCTGTCCGACAATGGCCTTCTCGATGGGATGCGCAATGGGTCCAGTCATCAGACTAGAAAGTCCCTTTATTGATAGTAGAGCTTCGCGTAGAAGTTCCTGGTCCACCACGGGGAAATTGCAAAACGTTGTGTCCATACGTATCATGCCCAAGGCCTTTTGATCAGAGAAAGGACCACGGAAGCCTTCGCCTAAGATTAGCTGGGAAAGGAACGAGCATCCTCGTAAAGACAGGAAATGCTCCAAAAAGCCGTCCTCCATGTAGCTGGATTGGAAGCACAGCAAGTAAGATGTAGCAAGCATGATATGTGATTCTTCAGCAGTTGGGGGCCATCGAGAGAAGGAATCCTCGAGTCCGACGATTGCTTTTTGTCGGTGTTGCAGTGCAAGACTAGTTTTTGGGTTCTCAACTTGAATAGCAAGATGAGATCCAGCTAAAGCGAGCATAGCATCCATGAGATATGGATACTGAGTAGTCAGTGACGACAGACTTGTTGTACTAGGGGAGGAAGGCGCCACATACTTGATTGGCTTTTACAGGAATATCTCTGACCCAAATGTCATTCCAGTCGTGCGGAATGCAAGGGTGTGCCGAGATAAGATAGTGATGGAACAACTGCATATCATCTGAACTGTAGATGGTAGGTGTTTCCGAAAGTTTAACAACCTGACGCGGACTCGGCGTTTCTGGCGGTATATAGTCTCGTCGCGCGTGCTTGAATACATCCGGATACCTACAAACCACTTGAACGGTTGGTGAGATGTGGGGTTTAGTTCACGATTTTGTACTTACGTCCGCGCTTGTCGCAATTTGTACATGATGGCCATGTCTCTGGGCACTTGACGGAGTTTAGTGGCACGGCATGATATAACGATACTGATTCAGTACCTTGATCTTGCGCCGCTTGCATGGAATGCAGCCCAGGCGACTTTTAGTGTGTCCGCGTCGTTGTCGTAACCCTCCCGGTGCCACCGTATCGCCGCTAGATACAGTAGTGCTGCTGGATATGAGTATGGTATAACACTTTGGATCGTGCGAGGGGACTACCATGGGTCAGAACTGTCCAGACTATCTTTTTTGGGCCTTATGGCTTGTTTGGATGTTTCTGTATGCTGTTCTGTGTGCGGAACTACAGGTGCCTTGGGATGGCTGGCCGGAACACTGGACTCAAGAAAGTCGCCTATGCCATCTAGCACCATGTAGCCATCAAACAAATCGTCCATGGTTGAAAATAAGTCAGGTAATGAGATGGGTATAGTACTGCCAAATACAATTCACCATGTCACCGGTGGTGTCGTTACATGGATCACGATAACGCCAAGCTGTCAAGGTGTCATAGTTGGAGGCCTAGGTATCCAGCCTGAAAGTCGGCGTTAGTGGCGCAGTATCCGAGCTTACGTAGACGCGAACCGCTAGAGAGGCTGTTAATTCATGGTGCGTATACATCTTCTTCATTAGCACATGGGAGACAGATGCTCGGAAGTCAAAAAAAGCATCTGCCTTCTCGGATGGCGACTAGTCCTGTATTGGTCTTGGGAGTACCTAGGTAGTCGGTGTCGCGTGAGAAGGCCGCGACGCATCCAAGCAACGCAATCTCGGTAATCATGAAGCAACGTCAGACTTCCCGCGCGCGAGATTTGGGAGCGACTGTCAAGATGAGTTTGGGTAGTTGTCTGGGAAAAGTGGTGCCGTTGGGTCGGCAAACCTGACTGGGCAGAAAGCGTTCGATGGGTTTCTCCGTTGTCCGCCCAGTCGGGATGTTAGCCGCAAGTGACGTCTCCCCTTCACAAGCACCGCCATTCTTCTTACCAACACCGTGGCGAGCTCGGCGCAGCACACTACTAGCATTCTCCCCAAACACGCAGCCTCGACCGGCTTACCGAGTGATTGCGATTGTTCCCATGTGCTGCCTAATAGTGGAGTGAGGAGCACGCCCCACCAGCCACGCCCAAGCCCAACGGCTGGACACTTGAGCATCTTCCCCCGAACCACGACACGCATTGCTACCTCGAGCCTGCCAAATACGCCGCCGCCATGCCGTCGATTCTCTCTGACGAGGACAAGCAGACGGTGAAGCGCACCGTGCCCAAGTCGGCCAACAAGATCCACACCGTCGCCGTCGCCAAGTTGTACATTGCCTACCCCGACCCGCGCCGATGGACCTACACGGGCTTGCAGGGCGCCGTCGTGCTGGCCAACGACCTGGTCGGCAACACGTTCTGGCTCAAGATGGTGGACATATCGGTAGGTGCGCGCGAAGCCACAGCACAGAACACACGACTGACGGATGCAGCCCCAAAGTCGCGGTGTCATATGGGACCAGGAGATCTACGACACCTTCTCCTACAACCAGGACCGCGTCTTCTTCCACACCTTTGAGCTCGAGGACTGTCTCGCCGGCCTGTCTTTTGCCGACGAGAAGGAGGCCAAGACATTCAAGAAGAAGCTCGACGACCGCGAAAAGAACGCTCACAAGAACACAAAGAACAAACCTTTCAGCGCATCCGCAGGGAGCAGTGCGCCTGCAGCCAACGGCAAGAGCGGTGGCGGCCACGGCCACGGCCTGCTGGGAGGGCTCTTCGGACACCGCCATTCTTCTGCACCTGGCCCGCCGCCAGCATCCATCATTCCACCTACCAACGTTACATCGCCCGTGCAAAGCACCCACTCCAACGCGACAAGCGCCCGAAACTCAGCCATCGACACAACCGACCCATCATGGCAGCCGCTTCTGAAAGAATTGCTGGCCATGGGCATTACCGAAGACCAGATCGAAGAAAATGCCGATTTTATCAAGCTGTACATTGAGCAGAGGAAGACAGAGGAGAAGCTCAAGGACGAGAACAACCAGCGCAAATCCAGAGCGCCTCCCCCTCCCCCACCGAGTGCGCCGCCTGCAGCGGCATCTCTCAGCCCTCAGAACACTGGTGGTTCCAAACGAGGACCTCCGCCAGCACCCCCGCCAGCGCGGAGAACAAGGACAGACGCAACCGTCAACCGCAATTCCTCGGGAAGCCCTGCGCCGCCATCGCCGACACGCGAAGCTTCGCCACCTCCAGGACCACCTAAGCCTGTTTTCAGAGCACCCCCTCCAATTGCGGAAGCAGGAAAGTTTGCGAATCTTCCCCCTGCACCACCAAACAGAGCGCGAGCATCGTCCAACGCTGCCAATCCAGGGCCCCCGCCGCCACCACGTCCACCGAAGACGCCAGTGCCCGACGAAGCTCCAGTGGGAGGCAAGTTCGGCGTGCCACCGCCCTTCACAGGCAACCGCGTACCCTCAGGCGCTCCACCACCACCCCCAAGTCGTGGACCAGTTCCACCACCCCCTCCAGCAAGAGATACTCCGTCCGCGCCCCCACCACTGCCCCCGAAGACATCGGCAGCCCCGACACCACCCCCTATTCACAGCATACCACCACCCCCGCCACTACCGCCGTCTTCGTCTCGTCCTACTCCACCTCCAGGCGCAGCACCAATTCCCCCGCCTCTACCTCCAACAAGCAATGTAGCGCCCATTCCCCCACCTCCACCGCCTATGCCGAACAGGTCAATTCCCCCCCCGCCACCGATGCCCAACAGCTCGGCACCACCTCCACCCTCAGGCGCGGCACCGCCTCCACCGCCCATGCCACCCGCCCCGCCGCCAATGCCTTCACGAAGCGCTGTTGCGCCGCCTCCGCCTGGACCTCCACCGCCCCCGGGTGGCGGCCCGCCTTTGCCCAAGCCTGCGGCGGGACGAGATGGTTTGTTAGCGGATATTCGTGGAGGAGCGAGATTGAAGAAGGTTTCAGATTCGGAGAAGAAGGATCGCAGTGCAGCGGCAGTTCCTGGTGCAGAACCGACTGGCGGAGCCTCTGGTGGAGCCTCTGGCGCAGCTACACCTGGAGATGCTGGCTTGGCTGGAGCATTGGCCAGCGCTCTTGCGGCAAGAAAGTCTAAAGTTAGTCACAGTGGTAAGTTCTGATATATCTACATCGAAATGATTGTATACTAACACTCGTACAGATGACGAGTCCGACAAGGACGACTGGTAAACGAACAGATTCTGAAGTCGCTCAAAGCAGCCTCAGCCCAACACGCCGAGTCGATCGAACCCCTTTTCAGACGCGGACATACCAGTGATACCTTGCAGAAATCGGGGAAAGAGTTATCAGAAGATGTTGCAGTGTGACGCACCGCGGCAAAAGCAGCGAAGACAAGTTCAAGAAGAGAGCCCCTTGGCTAGTTGAAGAAATAGCGATAGTCGATACCAAGAATGATAAAGTATATTCTTCGTCTTCCAAATCATCGTCCTCATGCCAAATTTTCACCTCCATGACCGATGAGTCTCCCTATCCTCGCAAGCCGAATCATGCGCTTCTTAGTCAATTGGATCTCATACCCACAAGCAACAAGCATCGCAATCTCGAGGTGTTTGTCTGCCTGCAGTTTCCCATCTTTCCCATGTCTAGCGTAAAATGTATCAGGCCTACACATATACTCTTGACAACAGTTTGACAGTTCAGCTGCCCGACACGACCTGCGTAGCATGTCCATGGCATGATATACATATGAAGAGCGCTCCCATGTTTCGGGAAGGTCCCAATGTGATTCGGGATAGCCATTTTTAGACAGGCTACTAGAGATTACAAGACAGTTTACGATGCGCGTAGCTAGTTTGCGAGACACGATCGGGAGGGATGTGACATGGCAAGAGTTTAGGATTGCGGAGCTGAAGAGGGCATGCTGATTTGGAAGTTGGAATGAAGAGAGTAGTAAGAAAGTAGATGATGTTTGAGGGAGGTGTGCGATCAATACGTGGGTGTGTAAGGCGTGTAGCACTTCTTTGCTGAATATGCCTGAGAGGCATGCCAGTTAGCACGGTTCCGTGTTGGTGGTTCAGTATAGGGAGTTACCCACGGCATACAAGCCGCAATTCTAGCGCTGCTGTGCATTCGTTGAATGGTGGAGCGTTTTGACTGATGCGGTGTAGGACTGTGTACTCGACAACCAAACTCCAGAGTTCGACAGGTAGGGCAGTTATGCCCGAGAATTGTGATTTGAATATCGTGATTGGTGGATGGTTCTCTGGCAAAGTGATATTTGGTAGGGTTCGCAGTAGGGATTTGAGAGTGAGAACAGTGTTCATTGTCGACTCCTGGATTTCTGGTTGTCTTGCACTCGTCTTCTGAACATTTCATGTTTACCTGTGCTAAGAGTGTACAGGATGAGGTTAGCAGCCAAGCACGGACGCGTGTCAAATGCGAGGAAATCAGGCAGCAAGATTTGTACACTACCTAGGTACATGTTACGTCCCAGCAAAGTCTATGGATTTGACATGCTTCTCCTTCCCAGTATCATTTCCGGATACTTCGCCATTCAGCTAATGTTTCAATTCGAAATCGACATACTCGGGCGTGCCTGGAACTTTGTTTTATTCACACGTGGTATGTGCGCTTACATCATGGGCCCCATGGATAGGATCCGCACACACAAGAATATGCAAAGAAAGGCTGAGCTTGATCAAGGCTTGAGAGACATCTTGGGAAAGCTGTCGAGAGAAAAACTGCGAAATATTCCAGAGTCACGCCTCAATGGCATCCATGCTTTACCCGTGGAGCTTTGGAGTCAGATCATCAACCATGTCCTGGACCTATGTTTCCAACCCAGAAGGCGGCAATGTCGTGATGTTTTCAGGGTACTGAGGTTACGCTTCGTATGCCGTACGTTGTGAGCCTTCCCAGCCATAAAGACAACAAACTGACGTTCGAGGTAGGTGCTTTCGACGAGGAGATACGACGGGCATTGCATCAGCGCTTGGGCCTGAACCAATTGCCATACTATCTTTTCCTGGCATACAACATAGAGACTTCGGATACTTCCCTTCGTAATGCATTCCTTGCATCGGCGCTATACCGCGAAACACAGCGTTGTTCTGAAAACGGCGCTATTCATCCCATAGCATATCGTATTAAGAACTGTGTTCTCGTGGCCCAACACCTATCGTTTGATCACAATGCCCAACGGGAGCAGCAATTGTACAAAAAATTCTGTACCTCCGCATCAGCATCGTACTGTTGTAGGAGATACATCTTCGACTTCCGATACGGGCCCAAAGAACCTGTTCTTGGCGTCGATAACCCTGGTGGCTTCGCAAGGGAAAGCGACATTCTTCTCGAAGTCTCTCTACTCGTCGCCAACGGCTACCAGCTTACAAAGGTGAAGCGGTGGATGGTGAGGCTTGGTAGGTTAGGACTCTTGGCTGGCTACAGGGAACATGCTATACCTCATCGCATTGTATCGGTAAGCGCACCGGTATGCGGATTGCGGATTCGTGATCCATGTACACTGGGTTCGCACGAATCTCTATCCCGTGAGGAAATTTACTTGGCACTCACTCAACCGTCATTGTCAAGTATGTGGGAGCGAGAAATTGATCAAGAGCTGGAGGAAATAGAAAGACAAATCTTGTAGGATATCCGAGACCTCTGGCGCTGATGTTCAGTTTCGGAGGCTCTGCGGCTCTGGGGAAGCTAAGCAGCAGGCATCTGGGAGCGGGCCCCAGCAATTATAGCCGAAGCGTACCTGCGGGATGGTGCGGGGTAGCAAGTTGAGTGAAGTGCGGGCAGGCATTCGCGCTCGAGATGGCAGGCGCGACAGCAGTCATTGAGCTATAGTAATAGACGCAGAATACGCGCGCAATGATACAGTTACTCTGTGAAGTCTGCTTCGCCGTTGCTGCGAGGCATTCTGCGCGGCTGGCGGATATGTACTGCCTCGGTTGAAGGCGGGCTATCCATCCTCCCGAATTCTGCGAGCCGAGCGATGCTCATCGTTTGCCCAGAACTTCCTCAAAAACCAACAGTTCCCTCAAAAGCGCGAAGTACGACTGTCCCTTTTCTCTACAGCTGCATTGACGTCGTCCGGCACGACAGACGCTAATCAACATGTCGGCCTTCAGTCGCAACCTGTGCAGTACCGCTTCACGAAACCTTCGATCACGGTCCAGCGTCGTAACGAGAGCTATAAGGCCAATTGCTCTGCGAACTGCTCCCTCGAACCCAATCACATCGCGAACAGCAGCTGCATCGTCCTTCTCCACCATGGCGTCCCTCAAGAGCTCCGTGCCACAGACGCTGAGCAAGCGCGAGTACGACCCTGAGATCAAGGACATGGCCAGCTATATCCACAACACCCCAGTCGACTCAGAGCTTGCGGTAGGATTACTTTGCCTTTCAGCGAGTCTCGCGGCTAATTAAGCTTCGTATAGTTCGATACCGCCCGCTGGGTCTTCGTTGACACGCTTGGCTGCGGTCTGGAGGGGCTGCGCTTCGAGCAGTGCAGGAAGATCCTCGGTCCTGTTGTGGAAGGCACAACCGTCCCCAATGGCTGCAAGGTACCTGGTACCAACTACCAGATGGACCCCGTCAACGGTGCCTTCAACATTGGCGCCATGATCCGATGGCTCGACTTCAACGACTGCTGGCTCGCTGCCGAGTGGGGCCACCCCTCAGACAACCTGGGGGCGATCCTCGCAACTGCCGACTGGATCACACGAACAAACAAGGCTGGAGGCAATCTCGGCAATGGCAAGATCTTCAAGGTCAGAGATGTCCTTGAGGCGATGATCAGGGCACACGAGATCCAGGGCTGCATGGCTCTAGAGAACTCGTTCAACAAAGTCGGTCTGGACCACGTCATTCTGGTCAAGCTGGCTTCCACAGCTGTCGTGTCCAAGATGATGGGCCTCAGTGAGGCTCAGACACGTGACGCCATCTCGCAAGCCTTCGTTGATGGCCAATCGATGCGTACCTACAGGCACTCGCCCAACACCATGTCGCGCAAGTCCTGGGCTGCTGGTGATGCTTGCCAGACGGCCGTCAACCTCGTGCTGAAGGTTATGAAGGGCGAGCAGGGTCTTCCCACTGTTCTCTCAGCGCCCACTTGGGGCTTCTACGACGTCAACTTTGGCGGCAAGCCCTTCCAGTTCCAGAGGGGTTATGGCAGCTATGTCATGGAGAACGTTCTCTTCAAGGTCTCTTATCCGGGTAATAATGCCCCTTTAAGCCAATTTTGATCCGCCGTATATGCTAATCGAGTCCAGCTGAGTTCCACTCCCAGACCGCCGTCGAAGCTGCGCAACGCCTCAACAAGAAGTTGGCGGCAATGGGCAAGAGCGCCAAAGACATCGAGGGTGTCGTGAACCGTACGCACGAGGCCTGCATTCGCATCATCGATAAGCAATTCAAGCCTATGGAGAACTTTGCTGACCGCGATCACTGCGTTCAAGTAAGTCTCACCCACCGTAGTTGCCTGCTCGTGCTGACATCATGGTAGTACATGGTCTCCACCATGTTCGTGTTCAACCGCCTTGAAGCCACTGACTACCCAGATGATAGTGAAGCCGCTACATCGGAACTCGTCGAGTCTCTCCGACAGCGCATTAGCTGTGTGGAGGACCCGCAATTCACCAAGGACTACCACGACCCTGAGAAGCGCACCATATCCAACGCGCTGACCGTAACACTCAAGGATGGAACCGTGCTGGAAGAAGAGGTTGTTGAGGCTCCTCTTGGCCACCGGTTGCGACGTGAAGAAGCAAAGCCTGAAATCCTCGCCAAGTACAAGAGGCATCTCGGCCCGCACTACCCGTCGCAACACGTTGACAAGCTTGTCGCATTGGCGCAAGACAGCAAGACGCTCGATAACATGGACATCGACGAATACGTCGATCTGTACGTGAAGAACTAGAGATTAAGCCTAGGTAGATTGGGTGACTTCGCGATGGACGCCTCGGCACGTCTGACGTTATCGCGTCCTCGCTAATGCAACCGGATGCAGTCGAATGATATTACGCTTCCACATTATTGCTTCTTTCTATATCCCTGTCTTTTTACCCAAAGGTCACTTCCAGGCGTCACACCAAAACACCGCATTGACCTCGTAGTATATTCTTGCAATATCCCGACCAAGTCGCGTGATCGTAGCCTGCCGACATATCTGTACGACCGTAATATCAGATGCGTTATGACGACGTCGTCGCGGCCGAGAAGTGTCTCCAGATCGATATCGAGGCTGTGGGGATGTCTCGCTGACCCAATGTTGGGCAGAAACTACCGACATAGGCCTCCACTAAGAGTGCCGCAAGAAGATTCTTGCTGGAACACAGATACCCGCAAGTCGCGGGAAGACAGACGCCGGATGAATCAGTACCTAACGGCAGTCTTTCCACGACAGAACGTGCTTAGTGCCATGGAAGCATTAGTTGCCGAGACGCAGATCCATCATGTGGAGGTAAGCTACTGAGGGCTAGGGTGCGGCTCAGGTTTCCTACTCTCCCCACGGGGAATCCTTTAATCCTTTACGAGCTGAGCACGGAGCGGATGTGCCGACTGCCACCTGGTTTGCCTTGAGACCTGTCTGGACGGGACCGCTGGCTTCGATGCTTACGGACATTGGTACCGTATACTCCAGAGATGAATTGTGGGATGGTGTCGTTGCAGGAATTGATGAGCCAGATGACACAACAGTGCGCCTCATGGCCGTGTCCTCAATAAGTACTTCTTGAGAGCTCCTAATCTAGCCTGTGCTCATTACCAATCTTTCTTCGTTGAACCCTCGTACATCGTTTATCAACCCTCTGCGGAAGTCACCCGTCCATCACCCCTGCCTTCCCGTCTTTCGCGCCTACACCTCTGGACCCTGGTGCAGTTATCGCCTACCAACGACATGTCAACCACATCGAGAACCGCCCTTACTGGCGGCAACAGCGCTGACTCGCTCGACGATGCGGAAAAGGGCATGTACGATAGTACGTTGGAGTTGACGGCACCAGGCTTCGTGTACATGGAGCAAAAAAAGCCGATACACATTGTTGCATCGTTAATGCCCGCCTCTCCCGTCCACCAAGGCATAACACCATGCACGAGTGTACCGGAACTGTCATTGTCTCTGCCATTAGGACGAAAACCTACCGATGCCGCTGAACTAGACACCACCGTGAAGAAGCCAGCTGGGGAGAAACCTCAAAAGCCAAAAATCAGCCGATGGATCCTGTTCGATCTTTGGTTCAACACATACAGAAAGTTCTTCACATTCGTCACCTTGCTCAACCTTACGGGAATCATCTTGTCCGCCTGCGGTCGCTTCAAGTACGCCGAGGAACACCTCGGTGCTTTGGTGTTAGGCAATCTCCTTTGTGCTATTCTGATGAGGAATGAACTATGGATGCGCTTCTTATACTTGGTCGCCATATATGGGCTGGGAGTACGTGCCTGCTTGCCCTTCAACCTGAAGTCTGCTGACCAGTCACAATAGTGGGCACCTGTATGCGTCAAGCTCGCTGCGACATCTGTTCTACAACATGTTGGAGGCATACATTCTGGATGCGCGTTGTCTGGTGCTGCGTGAGTCACTATTCTTGGACAGGATCGAAACAGCATTGACGTTAGAATTAGCTGGCTCGTCTACAAGTGTGTCGACATCATTCGATATCGTGCCGTACAACATCCTGCCGTGATTGCGAGCGGAATCATCACCAACTTTTTCATCATCGTCTCGGTGTTGAGTGCTTTTCCCTGGGTGCGCAAGTTAGTAGCTCCGATCTATGTCTAGCTTTGTAGCACCGTACTTACGCCCTTGTCAGCACCTATCACAACGTATTCGAGAAGCACCACCGATTTGTTGGATGGCTAGGCCTCGCAGTATGTAACCTCTTTTGTGGTCTTTCATCGGAACTTTTACTGATGTCTTCTAGATGACGTGGGTGTTTGTTATCATGGGCAATACCTACGACATCAAGCGCGGCGAGTGGAGGACTACCGCTCACAGCCTACTCAGTGCACAAGAGCTCTGGTTCGCTGTCTTCATGACAATATTGTAAGGAGTCTTACATGTTGTTTAGTTTCTTCTGCTGACATATCCAAGTGTCCTCATCCCATGGGTTACCCTTAGGGAGGTATCAGTCGAAGTTGAGATCCCTTCACCCAAAGTCGCTGTCCTCAAATTTGAGCGCGGCATGCAGCAAGGTCTCTTAGGACGAATCAGCCGCACATCCATCATGGAGTACCACGCCTTTGGTATCATCAGTGAGGGACGCGATGCCACCCACCATTACATGATCTGCGGTGTTCAAGGAGACTTCACAAAGAACCTTGTCGCCAACCCACCGAAGACTGTTTGGACGCGAGAGCTTAAGTTTGGTATGCATTCTCCCTGACTCTTATTACAGCTACATCTACTAACATAAAGGCAGCTGGCGTAGGTCACGCTTCCGCAATGTTCAAGCGCGGCATTCGCATATGCACCGGTACTGGCATCGGTGCTGCACTCTCCACTTGCATCCAATCACCTAACTGGTTTCTCATCTGGATCGGTTCCGATCAAGAGCGCACTTTCGGTCCTACAGTCACAGGCCTCATTCACAAGCACATCGAGCCCGAGCGCATGATTCTCTGGGACAGCAAGAAGAGAGGTGGACGCCCTGATACAATGGAGCTACTAAGAGATACGTGGAAAAGGTTTGGCGCGGAAGTCATCTTCATCACGAGTAACAGCCAGGGCAACGATGAGATGATGCAGGGGTGTGCTAAGGAAGGTATGCACGCTTTCGGCACCCTTTGGGACTTTTAGAAAAAGGAATAACAAAAGGAGGGAGACGAGTCCGGTAGGCATCCGGATATGAGGTATGAGATTTTTTGGACAAGCATATCAGCGTTACGCATTTACACATGGAGTTTAATATGGCATTTTTGCTCGTCTTAGAAGTGCTTGGGTAGACGGAGGGGCGTTTTTTTCCCTTGTACTCATGCGCATAATAGCAAAACATTAGGCATAATTACATCAACTTTAACATCAAACTTGCAAGTAATGACCTCTGGGAGCCACGGAGATTGTTCAAACACACAGAAAGCAAAGTGCAATCTCATAATTTGCTCTGGCAGGTTTGACGTGGTTACACCAGTCATCTACCAAAAGCAAAAGGCTGAGCAATGACCCCAGCCCCTGATTCAACGCCTCAACGTCCGCGTGCTATCTACCACGTACCATCCACGCAGTACCTACTCTTGGCCCCACATGAAAGATTCTTACAGCACCCGACTTCGTGCATACTCCGTCTCGCCGTTCCACCGATCGCCAAGTCAAGTTTTCCTCACGTGCAATAACAACCGGCTGATATAGGTACCTGATCCGCAAGAACCGCGCTAATGGGCCAATCTACAATTTATATAGATTGGGTGGCTGCAATTGGTGAAGATAGTGGGCTGCATCGAAGGCCCGTAGAATGCACATGCGGCACGTACTGCGCTTTCCATCGGCGATGGTGGAAGACGGGCGGAGGTACAAGTTTCATGTACCTGAGGCAATTGTGGCGCATCGTATCGTGGGGTTGGGCTGCGATGATATCGCTTCCGATGAGGTATTGTCGGAGCGGGATTCCGTTAGTGAAGAGTGCGGGTCTTGAGTCACGACGTCATGATTTGCGTTGTGGTGTATCAGAAAAGAAGGGCGAAATTGTTGGCTGTTATTTCGTTGATGGACAGCCCAGGAAGTAAACATATACTTTCGGCCTTCCTCGCTGCTCATCCAATCTTCAGGGTAGCCAAGTCTAGATAGAACCCTGGGCACTATTGACTTTTCATTGCATGTAAGATGATGAGCCATTTTGACAGTTTTTGGGCCGTACTTCATGAAGCTTGAAATGACCGTATCGATACAACCGTCTTCTGATGTAAAATCTGTACGTGGTAGTGATAGTATTATGAGTGACAGCAATTGCACTTGACGTTTGGTAGAGATCAATTCTGTTTGCGACGTTTTGCCATGGCATATGTTGCGTCGCACCAGAACAATACTCGATTTAAAATGGTTATTAAGATGTAATGTTCACATACCTAGAGGTGCTCATAGCCACATATTATGTAGTCAAAATCAACTCCTTGTTCCAGGAAGACATTCTTGATGTTCCAAAAGTCGAAGGGCAACGGTGCGCACTCTAACACATTTTCGCATTCCACGTGGACCCATTTTAGGTAGAGATCTTTCGTATCTGAAGGTAAGACACTAGAGAAGAGGCTGAGGTAGCCATCGTTGTACTCTTGGGATAACATGATAGGTAATATGTATAACGATAGCTCTTGCAGTCGGGGTGGAAGCACATCTCTCATTTGCGGGTACTGCCAACTTCCTTCGCCAGTGTACGTTGATTGAGGTTTCCCAAGGAGAGCCCAGAACGGCGTATAGAGTCTCTCTAGTGCATACGGTTTGTGAAAGCCGTCGATGCGCGTGAGGGTCATGCCTTCATAGTCGTATTCGCCCCTTTGATGAGGTTCAAGATATAGAGTACGCAGCGTGTCTTGCTGCTGCGCAAGACCAGACATGATCTCTGCCGAGCAGCTCAGAGGCATTTCTTCCACAGACCCGTTACTGTACTTGAAGCATGATAGCTCTCTGCAGGAGGTGATGAAAAGTCTGATAAGAGTACCAGAGATTTCGGCTTCATCAAGTGTGAGCGAAGCAACTGACGATGATCTGCTCTTAACTGGCCAATTTGCTTCGTCCTCGAATGGAATCTGACTAACCATCCAACTCAGACGAAGCGTTTGGAGCGTCGGCAGTAAGAACAGATAGGCCAGGCTAGTATCGAAACTGAACTGCATTTCTATGTCGAGAGTCTGCAGATTTCGGTAGAATGAATGGTCCATGCCGTTAAGTGGCGTCTTCCGGGCAACTTGAATGATGGGGATAAGCCATACCGGAAGTTCGTAACGCTGATCAATACTCGAAATACCGTAGAAATTGTGATGGCCATCCATAATGAAGGTCTATAGATCGGGTGAACTCGCAACAAGGAAGGCAAGCTCCAACTGAGCAGGGTCTTCATTAAGCGCTGTCTTTACGTCAACGGGGCAGTAACCCCACGTATTTAATTCTTGCTCAAGCTCCTCTCGTGGCCGCCATGGATAATCGTCCCTTGGTCTTGGAAATGAATAAGCATCTCTAAGTATCTCAATGTGCGTGGCCTTTCGTCGGATACTATGACCTTCTGTAAAAGCTGCAATAGGCTTATGAAATTTCCACAGACACTTTGTGTTAAGGACTTCCTTCGCGATGGGTCGCAGGCTGCGACATGTGTGTTCGAGAGCGTTGAGTGTTGAAAAAGCCTCAGAGTAGTTGTAGTAGTAGCGTTCAGTAGATTCCAGTATAATTTGCGGTTGCTGTGTGTCGAAGAAACAATCAAAAACGAGGAGAAGGATTTCAGCGGGTAGCGCGAGCAGCGGCGAATGACTATTGATAAGTTGATCAGGCATTTTGTGGTTTTATCCTCGTTCGTTGTTGTAGAACTGGAAATGTTACGTACAGCTGGCGGGCTTTGTCGTCCAGTAAGCGAGCACGTAGAGATCGGAGAGATCCCAACGCCTTCGCCTAAGCCCATTGTGTCCAGAAATTTGGGTAGATGCGTTACTTGCTTCAAACACACAACACACACCTCCCAAACAGAACTTTCGTTCGACCAACGTAAGGTTACACGATGGGTGGGCTTGTAGGTAGCGCGCACTGGAGCTACGAGGCCGGATAGACCTGGTACGTGTGAAATTGGCGACGCTAGCTTTGGACTTGTACGTATCTACGCCAACTGTAACAACATCGAAGTCAGCCATGTCTGTACTTCATGATTGAAGGACATTCGGAGTACAGTGAGCATTGGACAGAGAAATTTAGGCCTGGTTACATTTACGCCCTGCTCGTTTGTAGCGTATTGTGATGTCAAACGCCTATTTTTAATTGTTATGACTGGGGTGTAACCGCTTAAAGCAATTGTATGCCCTCATCGAATCTTCTTATCCGGCCCTGCAGTTCCCCTTAACTTGTTCAGATTGAACGTTGCGGTGAAGTAGTAATCAAGCACCGAAGTCGGGAGATATGTCCACGCGAACCATACAATCCAGCTCATCTTACCCTCCCATATCCATCTCGTCTTAGAGAAGATGCCATCGCCAGCGAGCACTTGCTTGACACAGCTGCTTGCATACTGCTTCGTGTCCATACCCAACTCCTGACTATGTACCAGTCTTCGCTCGTATTCGGCAGCAAGCGGTTGCATGTAGGAGCCCGGTGGCAGAGTGCGATGTGTTCGTGCGATGTTCGATTTGACGCCGCCAGTCACGACGTTGATAACGCACACACCGAGAGGAGCGAGCTCGACACGTAATGTATCCGAGTAGGCGTGCAGTGCTGCTTTGGCAGCATTGTATGGCGCACCCCAAACATAGGGCATGATACCAGCTAATGATCCCGTCTGTACGATAGTGCCCTTTGCCTCCACCACGAGTGGGGCAAACGTTCTGCACATCTCCATTACTGAGAAGACGTTTACCTGGAAGAGTTCCTGGAGCTCATCCTCGTCGTAGTCCAGCGCTGGGATAACGTAGTTACGTCCGGCATTGTTGTACAATACGTCAAGCTTGCCTCCGGTAATCTTGGTGACGCGTTTGTGCAATTCGCGTATCGATTCCTTGTGCGGGAGTTCGAGGGGCAGATAGGTGATCTTAGGGTGTGGAGACGTGTACTTGGACGGATCGCGGACGGTCCCTAGAACTTGGAAGCCTACAAATAACTTAGCAGCCGCAGAGAGTTGAGGCGAACACTATCCTCACCTCTTTCGGCGAATTCTAACGCGAGATAGTGTCCAATGCCGCCGGGCGTGCACCTGTTCGCGTCGGTTAGAGCTAAGAAGATCCTAAGCCTCCTACCGCCGCGCCAGATAGCAATACTCACCCTGTAATCAGCGCAAATTGTGTTCGCTTTCCTTCAGCCATTGCGAGTGTGTAGATGTATCAGCGTGTCGATCGTTGCAGGTTTCACAAGCTCACGATGCGCAATCTGATGATCCACGCCTCGGCTCTCTCTGCTGCTAGCGCGTCGACGTCACACAGGTCCCTGCTCGTATCAACCCACCAACGGAATTGACTGCTAGATCCTGCATGACTAACCAATGTTCCCGAGCGTTCCATTCGAGCCTAATTGAGTATGTTCCTTCTTGGATTCTCTTTCTTCTTTCCTTTCCTCTACTTCCGTCATTAAATCTCCTTCGTCATTCCGACTTGCCAATCCACTCCTGAAGCATCCTATAACCAATACTTGAGATACAAAGAGAAGAGCATCATGACATCGGCGGAATGGCTGGGCGAACGCATCCCGACACTTCTTCGCCCGACGATACTACTTTGCATTGCAGCATATAGTAAGTTGTGCCAAAAACGCCTTTCGGAGGGGTCATACTCATTCATACTCAGATTTCTTCATGGCAGCATTTGAAGTTGTATTCTACGACTGGCGCCCTTTCACCGTATTCAATCTCACCAAACTTCGTTTCAAGGGCTTCGCCCGCCTCTGGAAAAACAATGGCCAAGCAATGTCTGCCGAGATGCCAGGCCCTACGTTCTCTCTTTTAGGCCAATGTAAAGGTGTGGTCCTCGATATCGGTCCTGGATCTGGAGAAGTGCTTTCGCGATTCAACCCGGATCTTATCACTGCTATTTATGGGGCGGAGCCAGCTGAGGACTTGCATCCAGGACTAGTAAAGAACGCAGAGAAGAGGGGCTTCGGCAGCAAGTTTCATGCTATGCTCTGTGGTGCGGAGCCTGAGAGTCTAATCCCAGCATTGCATAAGAGCGGGATTCTGGATGTCAGTGGCAAAGGTGGATTGGCGTCGGATGGTGTGTTTGATGAGATTTGCTGCACTCGCGTGCTTTGTGGTGTTCCACATCCCGAGCAAACCATAAAGGGACTCTACAATCTTCTCAAGCCTGGCGGCCGGATGGTGATCTGCGAGCACGTGGCCAATCCTTGGAGGACCGAAGGCAGAGTGGCTGCCCGGTTCATGCAACTCGTGTATACAATCCTGGGCTGGCCGTTCTTCATGGGTGGATGCGAACTTCAGAGGCACACGCCAGAATTCTTGAGGGATGCAGGTGAATGGGACAAGTTTGATCTGAAATACTATGGTCCAAAAGACTGCATACCGTTCGTCGTTGGGGAGCTGATCAAGAAGAACGGGTCGCTGGACAAGAGTTACGCCGAAGCTGTCAAGGAGTAGTTGGAAAGACAGGTCATCCTGTAGGCGGGGGCTCATTCACAGTCGAAAACAGAAAGCGAGACGGATATAGAGTGTAATTGGTAAGAATGTTATGAGCGTGTTAAAACCTTGGTCAAGAGACCAAGTCGGTCATTGTAGAATCGCTGTAAATTTATGAAAAGAGAATCGTCGAAGCGGTTGCTGAAAGGACACTAATATCAATGTTGTTCCATTGCTGCATGCTTCCCTACTACCTATACAAATATGAAGCTGACGATGGCCAATAGGGAAGCCATGCCCCATCTTTGGCAGCGTATCGTTACTGGGGCAGCATTTGCCGTTTGCTCTGCCGCAGTAGTAGCTGTTGAAGAAATTGTCCCATCCGCACTGGACAAAACGATCGTTGAGACAGTTGCCGATGGCTCTGCTGCCGAAGAAGGAAGGTCGCTTAGTAACGCGGTATTCGAGTTCGCTGGGCTTCTCGACGATGTTGGCGCGGGTGTGGGCACAACACTCGCAGTCGCGTTCTCTGGACTCAATATCGTTGATACTTCGACTGCTGTACTTTTCGCAGGTCTCGGTGTAGGCAGGTTACTGGGTAACGCTTCTGCATTGCCGCCCGTACAGTCGGCCTCACCCCCAAGCTTCACAACCATACCAACCCCAGCCATAGCATCCCCCAATCCATTATCGTTCTGAAATTGCGCAACATCGAAGGCCTCGTTATCTCCTGGCAATTGCAGATCCGTGATTTCTTTCCTACCGGGGTTCGTATACATCAAGAAACTATATTGCCGGTTATCGCCCTTTTCTTCAACAGAGCCCGGAGCGATGTAGTCAAGAAGAGCGGGAGAGCTAGTATTGATGTTGGTGATTTCGAAGTTGTACTTGAAGTTCGCGCGGGCGTAGTGGAGTCTTCGAGAGTCTGGGCACGTAGTGTCGACCATGATGATCGTGTACAGCGTGCTAGAAGAGATGCCACTGCTGTCACCAAGGGCGAATGTAGGCTCTTCTGCTACCGCTGAATAGGTGTAAGATTTCCAGCCTGATATCGAGATGAAGAACTAACCTTCTTTCTCAAACACCGTTCCATCCTTGAAGCCATTTACTGCATCACCTGTGAATGAGACTTGCACTTCGTCGCCGTCTGGTCGGAAGCCAGATTGAAGATCATCGGGTATGATGGTCTCATCTTGGGCTACGGTGAATGTAAGGAGAGCAGCGATAAGTGTTGCATGTCTGAGGTAATGGATGACCATGATGTGCAGACTAGGGAATAGAAAGGTATTGATGATAGATGGGAAGAATTAGGCTCAGATATGTTTCGATAAACAACCGTCTTTGCTCTCTGGTAAGCTGTAGCTGCAGGATATATACATCCTCGACCATCTTGACATTCTGCCCAGATCAAGTCCAAGACGGACATTTGCACCGCCTACACGGCCCCAAACTACCCGTTGCGCCCCAGACTCTGCAAAGGCTGTTGCTCCTGGAAGCCGTACGTCAAAATAGAGCTCAGCAATACATATCTGTTTGATCGCCAGACGATAAGCGCGCAGGATCGCAGTATTTCCGGTTTTAGCAGTCTGTTGGCGCCTGGGGCTGCTTGTCAGCTGTTTCAGTTTCATCTTGATCCGGGATCCAGACAGCCGGGCGCTTCCCATAGAGAATCTGACTTTGGGCATCTTGCGCAGCTGCGCCGCATCGTTCATTGACTCCTTTGTTTGTGATGAGTAAATGGGACATCATGTTGCCCTAGGTAGCTGATGCGGAAGTATAGCTGCCAAAGCTATGAAGTCTTTGAGAAGATCTACGGCGGACGTCAGGCGGCTTCTGTGGGTGCCATCTCTAGGTCGCTGAATATGACATTTTGACATTTCTTTGTGTGGGAGTGGACATTGCTCCTTTTGGGGTGAAGATGTGGGGATGATTTGGCAGAATCAGCAGAATCCGAGATTCGGCAGAGATGCAGAGCACAGAAACCACTGCTATATTGTGCTAACATGCTATTAGCCTTTGTTGTAAAAGCGGTAAAGACAATATATGTTGCTTCGAGAAGCAAATGGAATGCTATGCTCTCGTGTTGGCAGGCCCGGAGGTGGTTGTTCCGGTACCGACGTCACGTGGACACTCGCTTAGCATTTTCGCGCAACCCACGCAAAGTCTCGACGAATCCGACACCTTGACCCATCTACATCGTCAACTCATACAACCGCCAAAATGACGAAGCGTACGACCCCCTTAGCCCTTGGATATAGATAGTTATTGATTGCGATTGCAGGCACAAAGAAGGTCGGCATCACCGGAAAGTACGGTACCCGTTACGGTGCCTCGCTCCGTAAGCAGGTCAAGAAGATGGAGGTGCGCACACCCAAACAAGCCCGGTACAGCCTCAGAAGAACGAGTCGCTCACACCCACGATAGATCACACAGCACGCCCGCTACGTCTGCCAATTCTGCGGAAAGAACGCTGTCAAGCGTGAGGCCGTCGGTATCTGGAACTGCCGATCCTGCCGCAAGACCACCGCCGGAGGAGCCTACACCGTCTCGTAAGACTCCCCGCATATCGTCGAAGTCTTACGCCTTCGTCGAAAGACTCGCTATGTCTGTGCAGAACAGAACAGTGCTAACCGCCATCCACAGTACTCCCGCTGCCGCCGCCACAAGGTCAACGATCCGTCGTCTCCGTGAGATTGCTGAGGTTTAAGGGAACATTGGGCACTGGGGTGGAGTTCTTCGAGCGTTTTCTCTGCATCGGCAGTCATGATCCGATAAAAGGGCTCATTGCAGCATTCGGATGCCGGTCTCATAACGATCATGGGTTTATCAGGAATTCACACAAAGCAATGGCACCATCATGACAAAACAAATATTGTCGTTGTTCTTGCCCTGCGGCAATGTTGTGACGAATGCATTGCTGATTCGGTGAGAGGTTCGAACGTGTCTTTCTGCGGCTCGTCCTGTCGTCTCGTATCCTGTTCATCGGTCTTAGCCATGTTACTAGTCTTACAGGTCCATCACATTCCTGGGGTATACAGCGGTACCGTTGTGGTCGGCATGCTTACCATCTTTACTAAAAAGATCTGCGTTAGTGTCATCATCTTGACACCTACAAGAACGGCGATCGTCGTTGACCAGGGACATGGTCACACAACCAAAGTGACATGGTCACGATACCTTGCATCGCCACTCGGACTCAATAGGCCACGGGTAGTCATTGGACTGAGAGAAGTCTAGCCTGCGCGGATGCAAACGTACCACTACTCAACCACATGTGACCTGAAATCTCGACAAGCCATCCATGATGTTTCGTCCGCGGCTTCACCCAGTCCCACGTCATCCCGTCTTACTCTTCAAACTCCATACCTGCCAAGAGATATGCTAAAGAGATAATAGGGAAGGTGTGAGGTAGTAGGGCTTGTCGTCCCAGTAGTTGATATTCTCCCAACAGTGAAACAGGTACGAGCAGAAGGTACATCCATAGTGTGTTACAGTTCTATATGTTTGACACTATACAGGACTAGCGACCCTCCACGCAATGCTATCGCGTGGGATAGTGAGGCACATAGTGGAGGTAGCGATACGACGATCATCGATATGATTGAAGTCTTACACGAGGAACCTTTGGATCAGACCACTGAACGCCGTTGCACGCGTGCTCGGACACGCGCGGCTGCCGAGGATTAGCCCGAGATCTAGGCTTGCTTAAAACGTGTTATGCAGTGTGCAAATTTTGGCTTAAGGCTACCCACATACGACGTCATGCCGCCATCCTGCCGGCCGGACCGCCCACTAAGTGGAGTTCCGCAGAGCCTCAACACCAAACTCTTCTCACAGTCTTGGAACGCTAGAGCGCATAGTGTCCGTACACGTTAGAGATAGCAGATTTTTCTCGTCCGATACACTATCTGACGGCACCGAGCAAATCTGCTGAGCAGTTATGCACAGGCACTATGACGTCGAATGTGAAAACACATGGATACCCCCTTACCACGGCTCAGCATTCTCGTGCCAGCCTGTCGGGTGTTTACGGTCAGGCCATGAATAGGGCGAATGCCATCCCACACCGCCCCTAGTGGCCAACGATGCCGGTACCTCGCCGGTGTTGATAAGCAGGATGTACACATCTGCTTTCGCTCCTAAATACCATATATCTCCCTAATTACGGTCGTCACTCCGCGTCCTTTTCTTTGCTTCCCCAAAGACTTCCCCACTTTAAATCTTGATCAACATGTCTGGGTACTACGGTCCATCCTTTAATCACAAGTCCTCGAGACCTCCATCCCTGGCAGCGTCAAGAGCGAACTCATACTACGCAGCTCGGAGTGCTCCTGTTACGCCTCGAAATGGCTCGATTACCACACCACGTAATGCTTCCATCGCCGCCACTATCGCCGGCACGACAGCGAACCAGACTGCTGCCAACACCGCGGCCAATACAGGTCCTTCAACACCCGCGTTGCTCTCGAGAGTGAACAGCAAACTAGAAAATGGAGCCAACGGAAAGGAGGAAACCCCTTCAATGAACTCGGAGATACTGCGCAACGAGAAGGGTGAACTCATGATTGGAAGGATTGCGGGCGGCAAGCATCTCACTGATGATGTTGAAGACATCGACCCAGCTTGCGGCGAGATCAAGAGAGTCGACATCGATATGCCTCTTACGCTGACTGAGATGGTCAACCATGAAGGCAAGGAGTACATTGTCCTTAGCTTTGCTACTGGCGACAAAGAAAACCCGTTCAACTGGAATCCTTGGTACAAGCGCAGTATTACCACATTGCTGAACTTGATGACGCTTTTCATCGGTCTCGCGACAACGGCATACAGTTCAGGAATCGGAAGGATGTGCGAGGAATTCGGCGTTGAAGAAATCTATGGCCAGCTTGGGTTGTTTACTTTCAACATCGCTTGTGCCATCGCGCCCATGGTACTAGCTCCCTTCTGTGAGCTTGTCGGCCGCAAGATCGTATACGCCAGTGCTTTCCTTTGCTTCTCGCTCATATTCATCGGTCTCGCGCTCGCAAAGAACATCTCCACAATCATCGGCCTCCGTCTACTACTCGGTCTCTTCGGTTGTGTCGGCACCATTCTCGTCGGTGGAACCTTCGACGACATGTACGAGCCTCACAAGCGTGGTCGCCCGATGGCCATGTTCGCCTTCGTCGCCATCTTCGGTACTGTCGCCGCTCCCATCTACGCCGGCTTCATCGACCAATCGCTCGGCTGGCGATGGGTTGAAGGTATTCAGGGTCTCGCCAACATTCCTCTCTTGATTCTCATCTTCGTCGCCTTCCCCGAGACTCGTGGCGGTGCTAAGCTACACAAGCGAGCCAAGCAGCTGCAAAAGGCGACTGGCGACGACCGCTATGTCGCAGAAGACGATATCTACACTCCCGACGTCAAGTCCATGCTTAAGGCTTCATCCGTGAAGGCTATCCGCATGCTTGTTACCGAACCCGTCGTATTCGCCTTCGGTCTCTGGATTGCCTTCTGCTGGGCAGTAGTCTTCCTGTTCCTTTCGGTCATCCCTATCACCTTCACTGAGAAGCGTGGTTGGTCCGAAGGTGTCAGCGGCCTCCCATACATCTCCCTCGCCGTCGGTACTTTCCTCGGATGGGCCGCCCATCACCTCCAGATGCGCAAGTACAACCAGCTACAGGAAGACCCTAATGTCCGCGTCGTTCCCGAACATCGCCTCTACGGTGCCATGTTTGGCGCTGTCTGGCTCCCTGTCGGTCTCTTCATCTACTCTTTCACGCAATACGGATACCTGAGCTGGGTTGGTCCCGTCATCGGTCTCGCACCCATCGCATTCGGTATCTTCTTCGTATTCGAGAGCACATACTCCTACACTGCCGACTGTTACGGCGAGACCTCATCTTCGGCTATCGCCGGTCAGGGATTGATGAGGAACACCCTTGGTGCTGTTACGCCACTTTTTGCGAGCGCGTTCTTCCACAACGTGGGCAGTCAGTACGCAGGTCTCATCCTTGCCATGTTCGGAACAGTCCTGAGTTTGATTCCATTCGTCATGTTCAAGTATGGACATCTGCTCCGCGCAAGGAGTAAGTTGGCGAAGGAATACTAGAAAGAAGAGAGTTTTGTAGTTGATAGCGCATTAGCGTAGCATAGCCATTGATTTTATCGTTACATTGATATCACAACTCTCATCATGTGCTTCCGATTAACTCGCATGATTATAGTGACAATAATAGGCATAAGGTGTGGTTTCCTATAACTCTTAGCTCGTACGCGAAACAACGACTAGAAGCCGAGCTTGTTACCAACATGGTATAGAGCTTATCTATTTGCCTAATTGACTGCAGACTGAAGCATATAGCTAAGTACATCTCGGGCTTGACCAAGCCAGCAGCAAAATATGGCAATCGTGACATCAGCATCGAATGGCCTTCGCTTTGCGACATCTGATCCCAGTTAATACCGTAGTCTTGCCCTTGTGGAGCTTTCTTTGATATATCAAGCTGAGCAAATGAGCAATGGCATCCGCCGACAAATGAGTGGCACCAGTCGGGAAAGCTGGCCAGACCACGTTTACTCCACCCTGCCTGACCCTCCACTTCCAGGCCTACCAGCACTTCTAGTCTTTACCTTGCTCTTCATTCTCTGCGCCTACACGAGCTTTTCAGTATCTTCCGCTGACTTGGCCCTAGCATATGGTTTGCGGGCTCGTTTGGGCGGCACCACGCGTTGATCGTCTGACCGACTGGAATCCGAATTTGTTCCTTCTTCTTTGATGCTGTGGCTGGTCGAACGTTTCTGCCTCTTGCCAGGACGTGCGGGTGGCTGCTTAATTGAACTCAAACCGGAGATTCGGGCAAGTTTTCGCTTCCTCAACTTCACCGAAACCGACATTGACCTGGTCGAAGATGCTTCATCGTCCGAGCTGTTCAACTTTTTCTTCGATTCGTATGTCTTACTCTCCGAGTCGCTATCTGTATCAGAGCTTGTGGACTTGTTGATGTTTTGCTCCCGGTTAACTGGATCAGTGTTCGCTAGCTCAAGCCGCCTTTGTTTGAGATAGTAAGTCAAATCGGTAGCCTTATCTGACTTTGTAGCTTTGACCTCCTTCAACAACCCAGCCAACATTTCGTCTGGGCCTTCTTGGTCAGAGTCGATGGCGCTTGTAGGAGAGCTACCCGTGTTGCTGCTAAGCTTGTCGCTAACGAAATCTGAACCGCCGTCGGAGTCTTCCTGGTTGGCCAAGTCCCGATATCCCTGCGTTCTCTTGAAGACATCACTCACCCCATAGCTGGCTCCTTTGGCGTTTGGTATGACAATCGCTTGAGGTATGACCGGGCTGTCTTTTGGGAAGTCTTCTCGAAGTGTTTTTGTCTTGCACCAGTCATACGACTCTAGACTGTTTCGTTCGAGTGTAGCGTCCACGTCACAAGCTGATGAACCGAGAGCGTCACTCAACTGCAAAACCTTTGTTGCCATCTCAGTTGAATATCCCTCTGTCCTTCTCATCAATCGACCGATGTACCTGCTCAAGTCTACTTTGATAGTTTGATCTCTCCAAGTCTTCCCCTCGATGTCTTTGACGTTGTTCTCAATAACTTCCAGGGTTGATATGTGGAAATCGCGTTGGCCATTTGCAAATTGGGTCACCAAAGCTAGGAGCTCAGCCATGCGATGCTCTGAGTACTGGACTCGTTGGAGTAACACAAGTGTGTCTGCATGGGCGTCGGTTTCTTCCTTGAGCTCGGTCGACTGAGCACGATTTTCTCCAGTTGCCTCCTGCCCTTCTTCGTCCGAACTGGATGGAATGGAGTTCTTGGTAGGACGGAAGCCGGGTACGCGGTTGATATCCATGTCGATCGTCTGTCCTGAGTCTTTCTTCGCGACTGAAGACACTCGGTTGGACGATTCAGGCCTAGACTCAGGTTTCCTGGTCGGAGTATGCTGGAGCTTATGCTTGAGCCCTTGTCAGTAACTGGATCGTCGCTTGAGTCACCAGCGGGCGTTATAGAGCCGTGTGTTGGACAGTGGGGGCTACGAAACGCCTCACTTGCGTGACCGAGGCGCGGATCGCCAATAACGTACTCTTTCAGCACGTGGGTGTCCTCTTGTTCGTTCTGGTTATGTTGCAATACGAGCAAGACCATGTAGACCTAAGTATCTACGCGCAGGATTGCGCGACTCGGTCTGTATGTGTAAGAGAAAAGAAATCTCAGGATGTGCCGCGCTTGACCGCAGGTAAGTGCCGACACGAGCAAGAGCAGCACTTGGTTGGCGCTAGAAACCTTGTAGATAGTCCGTTTGCTCGTCTTCACCTGGGGTTTGGAATCGTACTTCACTTGGCCATATTCGATGGCGGCATTGCAGTATGTTGGCTCACAGGACAGCCCAGTTCATAGATATCGCATTCGGAAAGCTGCTTGAGCAGATAATGTTATCTTGTTCAAAAGTTGAAGAAATCTTGTATGTGAATGGTGGTGTAGAGCGCGGTCAGGCGTTGACGTGTAGACTGCCAAGCTAGCCCACCACTTTACGCGTCGTTGGGACGCGTCTGGCTTTCACGCTCCACCAATTTTCGCAACTTCGCAGACACGCCCACAACAGAATCAAACAATGGCGCTACTAGTAGACAAACACCGGCCGCGCAATCTTGAAGCACTCAGCTATCACCCCGAGCTTTCAGATCGTCTACGAGCCCTCGTAAGGACACCATCGAAATCGTCCAGTAGGCGAAACGCGACTAACGCAACATTATATAGGCACAAAGCGGCGACTTTCCACATCTCCTCGTATACGGTCCTTCTGGCGCAGGCAAGAAGACACGCATCGTCGCAACGCTCAAAGAGCTCTATGGACCCGGTGTCGAGAAGATTAAGATCGATGCACGCGTTTTCCAAACCACCACAAACCGCAAGCTCGAGTTCAACATCGTCGCGTCCGTATACCACCTCGAAATCACACCATCAGATGTTGGAAACTATGACAGAGTAGTTGTACAAGACCTTTTGAAGGAAGTGGCGCAAACACAACAGGTCGACTTGAGCGCGAAGCAGCGTTTCAAGGTGGTTGTTATCAACGAGGCAGATCACTTGACAAGAGATGCGCAAGCAGCACTCAGACGGACCATGGAGAAGTACAGTCCCAACCTGCGGTTGATTCTACTAGCAAACTCTACGAGCAACATCATCGCACCCATCAGGAGTAGAACGCTACTTGTGAGAGTTGCGGCGCCGACGGAGACTGAAATTTGCGATGTTCTGAGCAAAGTGGGCAAGAAGGAGGGATGGAAAGATGTGGAGAGTCTGAATCAGAGGATAGCGAAGGACAGTGGACGTAACTTGAGGAAGGCGCTTTTAATGTTCGAAGCAGTACACGCTCAGAAGTATGTTTCAGACCCATAAAAGCCTCATAAATACTAACATACCACCAGCGAGAAAATCACCGACCAAACACATATTCCTCCACCTGACTGGGAAGCACTCATCCAGCAAATCGCCCGCCAAATTGTCGAGGAGCGATCTCCGCAACGCCTTCTACAAGTCCGCGCCTCCCTTTACGACCTGCTATCGCATTGCATCGACTCTACAACCATTATAAAAACGCTTACCTGGAAATTAATACCCTTGACCGAGGACGCACTGAAGCCTGAGGTTATCAAGTGGGCGGCATTCTATGAGCATAGGTGTAAGATGGGCGCTAAGCAGATCTTCCATCTAGAGGCTTTCGTCGCAAAGTACATGAGGTTGTACGAGAGGTATGTGCTGCACTCTGAGAAAGTCGGGTTGAAGCTTACAATTGACGCAGCTACGCCATGGGTATCGATTTCGATTCGGCATAAACGCAGATTCGCATGTTTGGTTCGATTGCAGGGTAAACGTAGTTAATGTGTCGTCACTAGGGTGTTCTGGCGCTACAGAGCGCGTCTCGCGTTCGGCGTTTGGTGGTTACGTCATAGCATGGAGCTTTCCCATACCTCGAGTTTCTGAGCTTCAATTCCACTACAATCTCACCCAATCCAAACAATCTCGTACCTTGTCATATACCAACCTTCTCATACACACAAAACCAGTTTAATCACCGTACTCGCAAATATGTCAGACAAGCTTATGGACACTGCGCCCGGCGGCGAGAACCAAAACCAATACGAAGATGTGCACACCTTCATTGAACCTCATGCCAAGCAAGCTGGTCAATTAGGCGGTATGGCGTTTGCCCCTCTTATCCACCTCTATTGTGCAATTGCTAATCATCTGTTCCTGCAGACCCCTCAGAAGGCACGTCAATGCACAAGAAGACCTCCGACCCCGGCGCGCCCAACACTCAAGGCATCACACCGGCAGATAAGATCAGATACGGACAAAGTATCCAAGAAGGTGGGGCAGGCGGCAAGACAACAAGTTCGACGGGTGAAGCGAACACTGAAAGTATGCCAATAACAGACCACCATGACTTTTGGACGGCGGGCTAACAATAAGCAGGTGGATTCGGTGGCACAGAAGCGTTGAACGAAGACGATGAGAGTGCGGCCAAGCAGAGGAGAGAACAGGGATACGGTGGAAACAAAGATATGGATCGAAACATTGGCGCATAGTAGCTGAAAACTAAGCGTTACTAAATCAAGAGACACGAGAAATGAATACAAGCCAACGCTAATTGCTTGATTGATAGGGTAGCCTAAACAAGGTTGGGCATATATACTACTATACAATGATGATACAACTTGAGTATCCAGTCTAAGAATGCCCATCTTGTCATGCGTCCCAAACGCCATCGCTATGCAGCCAGACTTATACGTTATTCGTACAAAAAGTGTAAAGAAATGAGGAGGGATATCTGAGCAGAGATCAAAAACAGATCAGAGAAACACAAATGCCTTCCACACGAGCAGATGAGCCCACGTTAACGTCTCGTAGCGTCATCAGCCCTCTGTTCCACCTTGGCCAACTTCCTTGCCAACGCCCTTTCTCTTTCCATGACGCTTGCCAGCGTGTCACCCCTCTTCGTTATACCGCCCAGATCTGGTGCACCAGACGGCATCGTACTACCCATATCCCCTCGACTAACTCCGTTTCTACTACCGCCACCCCATGCACCAAGGCCCCATGTATTGCCTGGAGCTACTGTTGGTCTAGTTGGCTCCCTGCTGACAAGCGCACCAGGTCCATGACCATACATGCTGACCCGTTGCACCTTGCGAAGCCTTGACAGTCCGTATACAGCGACGATAAAACCGAACACGGTACACCAAGCGCTTATGCCGAAGAAACCAAGATCGGATTCTTCAATAAAGTTCTTCAGATTCATGCCGTATAGAGCCGCAACGAAGGTTCCGGCAGTGATCGCAAGGGTAAGAATGGAGAACTTGAGGTCGAGAAGCATAAGGGAGTTGCGGTTGGCGTCCAAAATAGCTTTGACACTATACAAGAATTAGTTTGGTTGGAGAATGGTAGAGAGGGGCGTAGAAAAACGTACATCTCCTCAGTGCTCCTAATGCTAGATACCAAGTTCTCAGCAGCTTGTACGATTTCGTCGGCGACCTTGTGGTAGGATTCAAGGAGCATTTCGACTTCGGTATGATCGTCTTCTTCCCGTGTCTTGCCTTCTGCCTTCTCTGTCAGATACATGCCGCTGAGATCGTCGTCGGCCTCCAGCAATTCCTCCAGTGCGTTTCTGACCAATCGTGCCTTTTGTTCGAAACTACCCAGCTTCTTACTGTAGATGAGCAGGTACCGCAGCTTGTCCCTGTCGATGTCTTCTTCAAGCTCTCGCAGAACTCGAACCACTGGCTCACTGACGCCTTCGAATTCCTTCTCCAAGCTCAGTGTTACGCTTATAAGAACAGCTTCTAGTGCTCGGAATTCGTAGGCGAGGGTGCCATTGATTGTGGATTCTTTCTGGCGCAGTTTGAGATCGAGATCGTACATGAACACGGACTGTGACTTCGAATCGGTGGTACCGTATGCATCAAAGACAAGGACGCGGTTGTGCTTCAGGAGGACACGAAGGTTCAGGAGGTTTATCAGGATCGCCGAAGGTCGAACGAGAATATGCGGGAGGAGCGAGGAATCGATCTTGCGAAGATCACGAGGAAGTAGACCGTACTATATTCAATGATCAGCTACATAGTCTGGATAGACCCAATGCCGTGCGCACCTTGGCGATAAGTTCGCTCTTCTTGAACTCTCCACTAACAAGCGTTACATTGCCGTGTTCGTCAAGTTCCGTACAACGCATTTTGAGTTCGTTGGTAGGTCGCATTATACGTCCCAGGCTACTTCCAAACCCCGTTGCACCTGAAGATGATTCATCCGGTGGCGGTTGCGGTGCTTGCAGTTGGGCCAATCTTCGCATCTTTGCTGAGCGGAAGATGTTCCACGCTTTGTTCGTGGAAGTTGTAGAGAACCTCCGATGGCCCTGAGAATCGACATCTCGTACGGAGAGAGCAGTGGTCTGTGGGGCGACGAGTGAAGTCTCGAAGACTGGTTGCGAGATTTTCGTGCCCGAGAGACATTGCGAAGTTGCGAATGTCCTACTTCCAGCGCCTACTCCTCTCTTCCAGCCTTGCATGTTCGCCCCGCGTGCTGCATCTCCCAACAGTGTTTGTGACCTGATCTTCGTCCCGTATCTGCGTCGTTGCGGGGCTACCTGAGCGCATTGCGCCAACGGCCGCTCGAATGCATTGGTGACTTGAGCTCGCAGGAAGCTCAGAACCGACGTTGATGGGGCGGCGACTCTATGAAGCAAAATAGGCTTCATAACTTTCCATACGCAGGGTTCCGTATACGGCAGCGATCCATACGGTCGTTGTTGAAGTCGTTCGAAATATCCTTCAGGCCTCGCCTGCACGTCATTAGCATTCCGCGATCTTGGAAAATCGTTTAGCGCTAGTGACGTCACGTGCGACCGCGTCCACCAGTGGAACGCCTTCTAAACATGCGTCAAACACACCAGTCTAAACATACAGCCTACTCTCTGAGTTTGATGACTCTATATAGATGGCATGTCTCAACCGATCTACAACGCTCTAATCCGAACCCATCACATCACTTCCCGCAAAAAGGTTGCCAAGCTCAAAGCTGCAGCATCGAATTGTCATATATACGCTCTGCTACGTTATGGCGGCTGTCCAGGCATCATGTACTGCCAAGGTTCTGAGACTGGTGTAAGAGAATGGGTATCAAATGTACAGAGGCTACGTTACAAAGACTTCCAGCTAGTCAAGAAGCCTGCGGGCAAAGAAGTTGAAGGAAAAGAAGTAAAAGATGGTGTCACGTATGGAAAACTGGAAGAAGTAGAGAGCGTAAAAGATTTCGGGGCTAGCATGCAAAAGATGGGTGTTTGGGGCTGGTGGCGGAAGGGTATGGGATACGTTGGGGATGATTCAAGCTTATGATTATCGACGCATACTTCCATCCTGGCGCAACGAGTATGCGCTAGCTTTCACGACCGGATGAACAGACGACTGTCTAGGCATGATGGTCGATACCCAAAATCTGCCCTAACGAAGGAAGTTATAGTAAGAACGAGAATCGTTTAATACTCTCTTCCCTCTAGGACCTTTGGTTAGCTACACATGATTGTAAGCACATTTGGGTCCGAAAATAACACACTGTAGACTCCAGAAGTTTCTACTCTATGCGAGATGAAATGTCACACTGACAGCAGGTTCTTGCTTAAGTTGACATTTACGAGGCGGCAAGAGCTTAAGAAATCAGGCACTTCCATTTGAACATAAACTAATCAAATCACGGCCTGAATAGCATATTTAGTTAGCGCGTGAGACTTTTGATCTCAAGGCTCAGGGTTCGGTACGAACACTAAAACAAAAAGCTTCACATATAACGATTCTGGCTGGCCTTGCAGCCGGGAGCTATGTTACAAGTAGCCTTCACTCTAGATAATGCAGAATGTGTGTCACTTCAGACGCTACGACGACTATGTGCTGCTATCGCATATTGTCGCGCAGTGAAATCACCTAGCCCGTGAAATTCAATATATTCTGATGGCCTCCATCGTCCGGAACAAATCTGCAACATGTTTCGGTCACTCGAGAGCAACTTCACACTCGACTGCGAGGACTCAACTGAGACTGAAAGAAATTTCCGCAACAACGACAACAAGCGCTCTGCCCATGTCGAAACTCATGTTTCAGGATGTTATGGCAAAACCATACGAACATTGGGGTGATCACTCGTCCAGCTCTTTGGGAACACATCAGCCGATGGAAGAAGTATCAAACGAGCCTAGTTACTCAGAGGTTGAGTCTTCTGGCACAGAGCAATCTTTTTGTACTGCCTATGCCACTATACCTCCTACAGCTAAGAAAGTACCTAGGAGGGTATCGAGGAAAAGTCGATTCATCGAACAGTTTGGCAGCCTCAAGCTGACCAAGGCAAACCTTCATGCGTTAGAGGCTAGTCACAATCGCATAACTCCAAAGCCGGCTACTCCTGTGGAAAGAGAGATCCGTTTTGAATCATCACCACGTGGAAAAACATTTTTTATCCCTCGCAAGCCACTTCCAGAATCCGCGCGAGAGGTACTTCAGAAGATAAGAGCCGAAACCATCACCCAACATGACGAACCCCCAATTTCAGAGTCTGACAGTAGCCCACGTCCTCCTCGCTCGAATGCCACCTTTGAAGACTTTTTGCCATACCACCAGCTGCGAACCTGGCAGCAAGACGATAACGAGGAATGGCAGCGTCGTCGTGCGCGATCTCTGTCCGCTGTTGCGTTCGAAAGTATGAAAAAACTTAACTCAAGTTGCGACAGTTTATCAATTCAGGGTAAGAAGACTGCGAATCAGGTGAAAGAGGTGATCAAGCGTCGTATGCTTGACCATGACAAGTAGGGCAGCTCTTCAGACCTTTGATTTGTAGAGTAGTATACAGAATATGTCTTTTGGACTATTGACACAGACACCAATATGTTTCTTCGTTGTAGCAACGGAACTAACAACATTGATCAAATGTGCCGCTGAAATACAAGTGTGTATAGAAAATGACTAGAAGCTCGATCATGTAACGGTGCAGCAAACTTCCTTAAAAAAAAAATGAAAAAAAAAAAAAAAAAAGATCAAGACGCTGTATCTAGCTATACCGGTTTACAGACAAGCAAAAAGAACGTCGCCCGACCAGGGACTCGAACCCTGAGCCTTGAGATTAAAAGTCTCACGCGCTAACCAATTGTGCCAGCCGGGCTGTGATCTGATTGATGAGCTGTTGAAAAAGAGTATGGATTATATCTCCGCTCATTTTTCTTACAGACCCGCCATGAGTGGTAAATCAGTCGTCAGGTGAAGTTCAACACGAAGAATGATGGTGGGGCAGGTGGAGTCACGCTTCTAGATGGGCCCACATGTAACATCATGCGTCATCGATTCTTTTTAGCAATGGATACTTCCAAAACAATGAGCTAAAGACAGTGGAAGCGTCGCACTGGAATGCTATAACAAGAAGCAATGTCCTAATCAGACAAGTAGTTTGTTTGCTGTCAAATTTGCGTCGTTTCATTTCCGAGATTCATTACACAAAAGAGCACTCATGTACTATATGTCCAACATTCAAGCCACCTTACCTACTGCGGCGCGCCAACCTTTCCAGCGACAAGCGCGATGAGCGCGGCACCAACACCAGATCCGTCCTTCGCAATACCGATTCTGACTCTCTTCTCGCCCTTTGCACCAATCTCGGGTATCGCACGTAGTGCTTCACGAATGTACTCCTCAAAGTTGGGGTAGAACTCTACCAGCGAGCCATCGACACCAATGTCAATCTCGTCGCCTGCACTGGCATCAACGTCTCCACGTGGGGGCTCGATGCCTGATTTCTGCTCCGTGGTAGCGGAGCCCGAGGACTTGTCCAGACGACCAGTGTTAATGATAGTACCGGCAATGGCAACAGCAGCAAGACGGGCAGCACGGCGACCGATCGCTCCAGCAATTAAGCGGACTGCCTCTGCGTCCTCAGCGCTGACAGCGGAGATGTCGTAGTCCTTGTCGAGCGTCTGTCGCAGCATGCGGAAGCCAGGGCTGTTGTCGCCAGCGCACACGCTGAGGAAGCTCGTGTCAAGACCCCACTGCTTCCATATTGGGCTGCTGTCATGAATTTGTGTGGTGCTGTGAACATCGTTCGAGGACGAGTTGTCATCAGTGAAAAGAGGAACAGCAGGGTCCTTGATCAGTTTAAGCAGAGCAAGACGTAGAAGTTCTCCCAGGAACATGCCTGATACACGCTTCTCGAACATTTGGATTCCGGGGTTAACAGAGTCCTTGTCAAGCTGAACATCGTAAGGGCTGTTGGGCAGAGTGCGGAGCGAGTTGTCGAAGCTGCCCCACTCGGTATTGACAATCATCTCTCCAGTCGACTTGTCGTATACACCACCGTTCTTGTCCTTGGTGAGCTTGGTGACTTTGTCCAGCTTCTCGACGTAGGCTCCGTTAGTACCGGTTCCGAAAATTGCACCGAGTAATGTACCGGTCTTGCCGGGCGATGTGTACGAGCGTGCCATGAGAGTTCCGACAGTGTCGTTCACCAAAGCAGCCACCTTGACGGGGAGATGGAGCTCGTCAATTTCCTGCTGGAGCAGAGCGCACACGTCCTTGCCGACCGCATCCTGGATGTCAAAACCTTTTGTCCAGCGCATCAGCATACCCTTGTTGATTCCTATCTGGTGAACCGGGAACGAAAAGGTAAAACCCAGGTTGAAGATCTCCTCATCTTGTGGTTCGCCTTCCTTTCCTTCTCTGCGCCTGAGCGTGCCGGCGTAGTGTTCTTCGTGGTGCAGTTTCAGGAAGGCTTCGATCTGTTTCGCAAGGAAGGAGAAGAGTTCTTTGGATGTCTTTGCGACCATGAGCTCGCGCGGAATGGCTACTTTGCTCTGGGTGAGTGAGAAGGTGGTGTTACCGTGAAGCTCGATGGAGCAGACGCGGAAGTTGGTGCCACCCAAATCGACGGCCATGTAGAGACCCTGTGCAGTATCAGAAGGGAGCGAACACTCGCGCATATCGAGGCCGTACCTTCTCCGTGCCATTGGGAACAGCAGTGACGTATGTCGGGATCTGGCTCATTTCGGTGCCTGTCTTCTCTAGGCCCTCGTCTGCGCGTCGTCAGCAGCCAATTGCCCAGCTTGTGTCCTCATGCATACCCATCTCCCGAATAAACTCCTTGACGGCCTTGTTGACGGCATTGTCGTCGAAGTCGAACTCGGCGGCGACGCGCTTCGCCTGCTCTGCGAGTGTCATGCTGCGCTTATGTTGGGTGTTGAAAGTACCGACGAATTCGACCTGAGGTTCGGGCTTCGGGCAGATAGCAGGTTCCTGTAGGACGATCGGATTGCGGAGAGTGAAGGAAGGAGCCTGTTTGTTGGTAACAGTGCGTAAGACGGCGTGTGGGAGGTGGGGTGCGAAGAAACCGGTACCCAGCGCTAGTAGCAGGACGAGAACGGTGGCTACCGTGTGGGTCGCGAAAAGACTTCTTGTAGGTCCTGGTCGATCAGGACACGCGCTCTGTGTCGCGCTCTGAAGTGGGCGCGTGGCTTTATTGGAGCGTGACAGCGAGCTGATGCTCATACTGCCCCGCGTTGTCCAGCTATGACGGAGAACGAGGGGTAGGCAAGCTTGGGCATGCAATTACCATGCACGAACACCATCACTTGCATGCCAACGCGTTGGGATACGAGGCAAGATCACGTTAGGGGGGTGCAATTGGTTTAAAGGCGGAACGAGAACATTGCCATTCTTTGAGGAAGGCGTTCACACGGCTGGTTGCGCTAGCGATTGGAACGAGCAGTCGTCTAGCCGTCGGCATCGTGAAGTGAGGAGTTTGAGCACGTGCCAACGTACTTGACCGTGATTTACGTAGGCGGCTGACTCGGGACAGCGGCACAATTCTAGCTTCTCAAGTTCGACCGCTTTTTTTTGGGCCTCTCTCTTCACAATGCCATGCTGCGGTTTCTCTACAAAGGAACGTCTTGCTTGCTTTTTTGCTCGTCGGCCTACATATGCTCAACTACGAAATGCTTCTCCATCCAGCCACCAACATGATACTTGCTACTGCTCGTGTAGCTATAGTAGTTATACACAGCACTTGGGAATAGGTTAAGCCCCTCGGGCAAACAAAAGAAATGAATGGTTACAAAGAACGAGCAAATAAAATCCATATGCATGTATCGAAAACTCCGTAGTATAGCAAGCAAGTGGTAAGGGAAAATAACCCAACCTCCACTGAGCATAAAACCCATGCAGTCAAGAAAAACATGATTAGCGGGCTGCCACAGTCTGTATGTGTGTGAAGGAGAAAAGGAGAGGCTGCTGCTGTCGCCGCCACCGTAAGAGCGTTCTACAAGTATGTACGATATAGACAAAAGAGAAAACCCGAAAGCAACGGCTCCAGTCGTGTGAGGCCGGATTGTGTACGTCAAAATGTGTCCCTTCCCGGCCCAATTCTATTCGTCATTAGACATCCACCATCTGAGCGGGCCGCTGGCTGTCCATGAAGCCTCCCAGACTTCCTTGGGATTGTGGTCCGTCCGATGGTGATGGTTCGGTGCGTATACGTGTTTGTGGAAGTAGGTGATGAAAGAGACGTCCAGCCCGCTCTGCTGACCGTCATTGAAAGAGAAAGGATGTGTCGATCGAGAACCAGTAGATGATT